CCCTCACCTGTGTTGTAGAAGAGGGTGGCAATGAAAGTGCAGTTCTTGAAGAAAGTGTTACTGGAGGTGATGTCCTCAAAGTAGCACTCCTCAAACAGCGAGTCCTCAAACACCATGGACCTCATTTTCAGGTTCATGAACCTGGAAAGCGGTAGAGCCAAGCGGGTTCATTTGCCCGTTTCAGACAAAATTCAGGACGGCGTTTGTTGACTCACTTGTCGTTGAAGTACTCCCCCTGGCGGTGCACCTGGTTTTCCAGGGTGAAGTTGAAGGTGACGTGCTCCACCTTCTCCTTGACAAAAACTTTGGTGCGTGAGGCGTACTCCTGCTTCTGAAGGTACTTGATCATGTCGGGGAACCACACGGTCAGACCGTAGTAGCTGTGCCGGCGGAACAGGAGTCTCCGTTAAAATGTATATTCCCAGACCACTGCACGGTATCCTGAGGTAAGAGTACTACCTAAAGGACATGGAGAACCAGACGGCCATCATCATGTAAGTGGTGCGGCGGTACTCGGGGGAGAAAACCGTCTGGAAATTACTCCACACCTGAAAGAACAAAGAAGACAGAGCATATTACTATCAATTACCAGCCCATCTGTCCGAACTTCTGATTTGGGGTCATTTGAGCAAAGTTCCCATTAAGATTTGTAAGGTGGCCCGGTCTGAAAAAGGCCAGATTCCTTTTGGATATTTGCTAAAAATGGTGTGCACAGTCAGCCTTAAAAAAATCTAATTTGAGGAGTGTGACAGGAATCAGATCAAGCCGGCGGGCTGAATGTAGCTTATGCAATTTCAAGCAGTGTTCTTGGGACTTGTGGTTTGTTCTTTTATGATAGATAGACCCATCCAATTTCATATCACTCGAGGAAACTGATTTCGGGTGCTATTTTATTTCAACTTCCTCGAAAGGAGTCTCAAATTTTGATGTCCTGGTCTTCCAGCATTAGCTCGTGTAGGCTCATCAACGTCAACCATCTTTAGAGGATGCCTGCTTCTGATCGGGGCTCATTTGGGCTAACCTCCTCGTAGGAAGTTCATCAAACCCCGGAATTGGCCCAGAACAGCTGCTTCAGACCAAATAGTTTTCTTTCTGTCTCCAAACACACGCTTGCATAACACACATTCCTGAATCAACGCTGCTGTACCTGATGGAAAAGCGAGGTGAGTTTTATTCTCCATTTCTC